ATTCGAGAGATTCACGCTTACGAATAGCAAAAAAGCGCTTTTTTTTTTTTTTTTTGGAAAACGTTTTTGGTCATTTTGTTTCTGTGGTTTCTGAAAAACCATCACGAAGAATAATGAATTCTACACTAATATACGATGTGTACTATTTATTGATTCGTTTAATTATTCATTTACAATAATTTTACGCGTCAAAATGATATGAATGTCGCCAAAATGCAAAAGAAAATCCGGGGCTGGAGTCTAAAATTTTTTGATTAGGTTAGACTAGGCGTGTTAGATCCCCAAATTTTGACATCGTAGTTCACTATCATTAAGACCTGTGTAACTTTCGATCACTCCTTACTTATGAATTTACTTCTCGTATCATCACCATCAATTAATATTGGGTTGATGCAAAAGTCTCCGCCGATTTTTTTTCTTTTTGACGTTTCATGATTTTATTGAAACAAAGTATCACTAATCAACAACATATACACCGTTGTTGTCTATGACATATTCCCATCTTTTAGGCAAATCGAGAATGCCATCTTCAAAGAATTTCTTAGATAAAGACGAAAAGAAACTTTCGAGGTCCGATTTTACATGTGCCTGATCATCGAACTGTTTTTTCACCAGATGATTGCGAAGCGACCGGAACAGATGATAATCAGAAGGTGCCAGATCTGGTGAATATGGTGGATGGGGTAAGACCTCCCACCCTAATTCTTCCAGCTTTTGGCGGGTTACTTTTGCCGTATGAGGTTTCGCATTGTCATGGAGGAGTCGAACTTTTCGTCTTTCTGAACGATTTCCTTGTAGTGCAACTTTCACATTTTGAAGTTGTTGGCAGTAAAGCTTCGAGTCGACAGTGGTATTAGGTGGCAAAAGTTCCCAGTAAATAATACCTTCAAAATCCCACCAGATCGACAGCATCACTTTTTTTGGATGCAAATCGTTTTTTGGTTCTGGTTCAGGCAAATCTTCAGGATTGACCCATTGGCGCTTGCGTGTATGGTTGACATATAGGACCCACTTTTCATCGCCAGTGACAATCTGTTGAAGAAATCTGTGTCGGTTGCGTTTTGACAACAAAAAGTTGCATATGGTGATTCTTTGCTGTATGTTGTCCGAGGTTAGTTGGTGTGGAACCCATGTTCCAAGTTTATTGACTTTTCCCATTTCATGCAAATGACGATCGATGGTGGATTGGTCGCACCCAAGCATAGCTGATAATTCACGGGTGGTTAATCGTGGATTGTCTTCGATCATGATTTTTAATCGTTCAATATCATATTCCGGAGGACGTCCAGACCTTGGACGATCTTCCAATGTCATGTCACCTTCCCGAAACCTTTTAAACCAATCTCGGCAAGTGCGATCAGCAACAACACCTTCACCAAGTGCAGCACATATATTGCGAACAGCAGCACTTGCATTGTTCCCCTGTTGGAACTCATACAAAATGCAATGTCGAATATGAATAGGAATCTCTGACATATTTTAATACAGAATGTAAATAAAATCGGACATTCGTTAATGTCATTTCATAGTACGATACAAGCGGTATCATATGTATGAAAGCCACACATGCACAGTAGCGCTAGATGGCTTTAAAAAAATTTCAAAAAAATCGGCGGAGACTTTTGCATCAACCCAATATTATACTGTCGCTACCTGCTATCAGTTCTATTGTGGAAGCTAATGGTAATACATACAGAAGAATGTGTATCTTTTCTGACTGAAATAATCTTTACTTTTTCGAAATATATAGGAAATATAAGAAATATAGGACGACTACGAGGCCTGATTACCTTGATATTTTTGAGCAAATTCATTGATAATTTCCAATTGTTTATCGTTACCTGCATATTTCTCCCGAGCGTACTTCGCTAGATTATTAATTTCTTTCTTTTCATCGAAATCAATTTCAAGAATAATTTCTTTGAAAAGTTGTGTATACATAAATGTTGGCTCGATTTGATTCGATGATGATACAGCGCTAACAACAATAGAATCTTCGTCACATTGTCGAGCCGATTGTTGAGCTGAGTCACAAATTGGAGTAATTTCAGTGTGAATACCTTTTATTTTGGACCAATCTTTTGCCCATTCTTCATATTTTTCTTGTTTTCGACAAAAGACATAAATTGAATGAATTTGATCCATGTTATGAATACGTGGCACAACTGTTTGACATAAAGCACCGGAAATAATAAGAAATGCTTTTTTATCTTGAAGTTTTGAAATATAATCAATACATTCTTCGGTATCTTGAAATGGTTCGACAGTGTTGACGGTGCGTCGTAGCTGTTTGATTGAATTCTGATAATCTTTGCTGGATTCATCGATTTTTCCATCAAGCCAAATCAAAAGAAAATTTTCAATAATTTCATTTGTATCAGTTCGACGACCCCGTTTCGGAATATGATTTGCATCCGACTGTTGATTTAATACAGTAGAGGACGATTTTGATGGTGTTACTGTTGCTTCAGTAGTAAGATGTGGTTGATTGCTGAGAGAATTAGTCGTTGATCCTGCTGATGCACCGCAACCCATATTGATTGATTGTACGTAATGTGAAGAGCTATATGTATTATGTGCGTCGTCAAATCTGAAATCACGAATGAATAAATGTTAGACAACAACAGAGATTCTTTATTTAAACGAAAGTTTTCTTTGACAACGGATGGCGATTTTTTCTTTCTCAATTATCAAAATATGTTTTTTGTTGATATTCGAGCAGATAGCATAGCTTCCAAAGAAAAGCGGTGGATGTAGGTGTGGATGTAAGTATGAGTATTGATCCAACTCATACCCACACCCAAATCATGCAATTCATTATAATGACACAGTGAAAGAATCTGCTAGCATCAAACTTTTGAAAAAAAAAATTCCATGATTTTTCAAAGACTATAACAGTAAAACATTGTAACAACAATGTTTTTATAAAGAATAACTGTTTTGAATTAGGTGCTTCGATCTAAAAACATGAAACCGGCACCATTGAATTTCGAGCAAAGATCTGCTAAATAAAAACTTTTTGTATCGTCTGTATGGTAGGTGGGTATGGGTGTTGTCTTCTTTTCATCCACACCCACACTGTAAGTAATAAACGAATAGTCGTGGTCGAATGGCAATAAATTAGAGCAATGAATAAATGCATACTTGCTGGAGACGGGAGATGTGAAGAAACTCGTTCGTCTCCTTAGACAGAGCTTGTTTTTTTCCTTTTGTTGATACTTTTTTTTGGTCGGTGTTTACACGAGTGTGTATGATTTATTACTGAAGAATTTCTTATCTTTCATTTCAAGAGTGCAGAAGATATGAGTCTGTATCAAAGATCAACAACGAAATAAATGTATCGTCATCGAAAGAAAGAGAAGAATGGAAACATCATAATAGAATGAATGTTGTTCTCATTGTTATCAAGCTTTTTTCCAACGTAGTAGTGGATATGGGCTGCTAGAATCCACGTGTTTGAGATTGATAAGGTTAAAAAACAAAGGCATTCATTCTGGAGACATGGTTTTTTTAATAAAGGAACAACAATTCATTTCAAGAGTGTTATGTCCTCTTATCATTGATTGGTTGGCTGTTTTGCTGATGGATATCACGCTATTGAAATTAATCTAGTGAAAGATATCAAACAGGA